TTCTCGACGCCCCCGTCGAGCCCCTAGCAACTTATGTCAGACGAAGCGGACGAGCTTCAGGGTTATGGCCCGTAAAGGACACCCACGTCGGCGCTTGATTGTCTTATGTTTAAGTTTGTTACGAGTCCTGGGGCTAAGAAGATGCTTCTTGATTCTCCTTGATTCTCCTGTTTCTTCTGGTTTTTTGTCCCGCCACGATCCTCTTTTTCTTCTGTCTTTGCCCCGAGAAGGGTGCCGACCCGCCAGTACGTCTAACGCGAACTCTCCGTCTGGCTCGCTTGAGCACGAATAACCATCTCTTCTCTCTTCCTAAGGCTATCCCCTTGAGCTTTCTCTTCTCTATTCTTTTCCTTTTCTTGGAACTCTCCCCTGCCTCGAATTGCCTCAAGGGGGCTCCATCCTCCATCTTGGCTTTCCCTTTCCCTTTCGGGCTAGTTAGCGATAAAGCGGGCGCGGGTCTGGGCCTAAACAGCTTTAACCTAGCCCCCGCCACTGGGTCCTTCCACTTAGATCCGTCTAGTTCTGCTATCATATATGCACCCCAGTCAAGTGCCYCAACCACTCTGTAAGGTCCCATCCATCTATTGGCAAGCTTTCCGATCCAGGTTCTTTCCAGCGCTGCATCGTAGTGGAGGACCATGTCTCCCACACTCACCTTCTCCTTCCTGATCCGCACGTTCTTATCCCATCTCTCTTTACCCTTGTCCCTTTCTACTACCAGACGATCTGCCGCTATCATGAGGTCATCTTTCAAACCGTAGGCTATTTCCCTCGTTCGGGCAGCTAAGAGTTCCTCTCTGGACATCTCCTCCGCCCAGTCGACGGTTGTCCAGCTGTCGACGTGAAACTCTATGGGAAGCGGACAATGTCGCCCAAACCACAAGGTGTACGGGGGGTATCCGGTACTAGCCCGGACCGTGACGTTGTCCGCCCATATTGTGTATCGAAAATATCATGGCCAATCACTGTCCTTACCCTTGCACCACTTGGACAGCGACGCTATCAGAGTCTGGTGTCCCCTCTCTACTGGGGAGTTCGACTGTGGGTGATAGGCGGTGGCTATCGAAACTCTCGCACCGACTCTCCTAAACACGGTCTGGACCTCGTCGGCTAGGAATTCCGACCCTCTGTCCATCACTATCTTACTGACACAACTATACCTAGATAAGTATTCTAGGACAAAGTTTTTTACTTCCTTTGCCGCCTTACTCCTGATAGGTCTACCGTCCACGAACCCAGTGAAATCGTCTCGTATGTTCACGACGTAGTTCATATTGCCTACCCCTCTCGGCATTTTCACTAGATCGATGTGTACCTTCTCTCCCGGTCGGGTTGGATAGGATGGATGAAGTGGCTCTTTGTATCTCACAAGAGCTCTCTTCTGGCACTCTCCGCAGGTCCTACAATACCTCTCGACGTCCTTATACTGTCCTTCCCACCAATACAACCTGCGTACCTTTTCGTAGGTTCCTTTAACTCCCCTGTGTCCCCCGACTACCCCGTCGTGAAGCTCCGCAACTATTGTCTGTCTCTCCTCAGGGTCACAGACTACTYGTAAGGGCATTCCCGACCCTACTGGCCTTCGGAAAAGGTGGCCCGCTCTAAGGCAGTACTGGGCTGCTTGCCTCCGGATATCTGAATCTTGACTCTCTTCTCCCGTCAGGTGTAGCCCGATCATTCGGTACTTGCCCTCGTAAAGATTAACTAGAAATCTCTCGGCGCGCCTCGGCTCTGTCATTGTCAGAGCCCCAGCTACTATCGGACGCTCGAGAGGGATGCGTGAAAGTCCATCTGCCACGACATTTCTAGTACCAGATACTCTCTCAACCGTGTAATCGTATAGCCGAATCCGTATTAACCATCGGGCGATGGTCGGGTCCGTTAGACTAAAGTCCTTCTGGAGGACAGAGGCAACCGCGGTGGGGTCTACTCTCAAGATGAACCGTCGCCCATAGATATAGTGTTTGAACGTGTCTAGACACCGGAGAACAGCTAACACCTCCTTCTTGAATTGACTGTAGTTACGCTCAGCCGTATTAAGTGTCTTACTCTAAAATCTTAACGGTCTTTCCTTCCCTCCAGCGTCCTTCTGAGACAGCAAACCACCCTCTGAACATGGTCCAGCATCCGTGGATACTATGAAGGGTCTCTCAGTCTCATCGTCAAAGAATGGCACGCCCAACACGCGTCCTCCCTCCTTAAATTCATCTTTAAGTTCTTGCATTGCGAGTTCCTGCGAAGAATCCCAGTAGAATTTTTCGAGCTTTCGAAGGAGTAACCTCAATGGCTCAGCCTTCTCTGCATACCCCCGTATGAATATACGCCAGTAACCGACCACTCCCAGAAACTGTCGGACCTCGGTTG